TTTTTTTTGAAGAGGTCGGTGTTTTGCAAGTAGATGATGGGATTAAGCATTTCTTCCTTTTTTGAAAGCACTTTGCAACCATTTATTGTACATTTCTATCTAATGTGATGGTCTATTGTAAACCCCTATTTCCTCTGAGGCTGTCATTAGTCATGCTAAAATGCTCCGTAAAATTCTCTTGTAATATGAAGTGGCAAGTTTGTATAGCAGATAAAAAGTTTTATGCGCTTACCAGTTAGAATTGTTGATGTCTTTATATCAAAGGAAGCGAAGGGTGACCATCGTGGAGGATGAAGATTGGGGTGACGACGTTTCGATAATTCCAAGCAATGACAAAGCATCCGTGAGTGTTCAGGCTAAGGATTGATATGAATGATTATCTCTCAACTTCTTCGATCTAAAGATGAACCATACTATCGAATAAAGGTGCTTAACGAAACTTTTTGCAACTAGTTTTAAAAAGCTTTGCATCAACGGAATAAGCTTTGAGATCAGAACTTTCATTACGTGCTAACATACAACTTATCATAAAAAGGCAAATGAGACTATTACAATTCTCTTAGCTCTCTGACTAAAACGTTCGTCATCTTAAACGTATTTCAGGTAGGAACGATCATTTTGAAAATTTGTCTTGGTCTCATTTTCATCGGTTCTGCAACTGGTGCCATTGTTTACTCAGTGATCAATTGTAAGTTGCTACATATTACATGCTTTGAAGGAGATAAATTATTGAAATGGAAATAATGGAACGATTTTTGATTTAATTCTATTTTTAACTCTTAGAGAAATTTTGTCGTATTTACAAAAATTCCGATTGATCTCTCATTTTATACCGCTTATGTCAAAGAGCATCTCATGTTCCGTAATTGTTGTATTAATAAAGTCGTCTATCACATTTATTGGATTGTCAGAAAGATGCCTCGACACTTTTGATTAATTATTAAATTTGTCATTTTCATCATAGCATAACAATTAAAACCACCATTATCGACGATTTATGACCATAGTTTGGCGCATTTGTTACAAAAACGTTCTTTGCCGCTTTGCTTGTGTCGAAGTTTTTAAACTTGCAGAACCAAAATTAGATAGTGAGAGGTTACACTCATACTGTTTCTTTTTGCATTGCTTGTATTACCGTGCTTTTTTGATTCGTAAAGCAGCACTTGAATCTCAGAATCGAAGACAATTTTTTTGCCATGAATGTAACTTTA